AAAAACACTCTTTGTGTGAACTAACACCAGGGTTTGACTACACAACGAATTTATGTTGATGAGGCTGACATGCCAACTGCAGCCTCCCTGGTGTTTGGACATTTTCCTGCATTAGATACATTTGGGAACATTGATCCTATGCCGTTTTCCTGCATCTGAGTGCTAATCCTAAAAAGCCTTTGCTCCAGGGCTGTTTCTTATATCAAACGCATGTTGATCTTCATTCATGCTCCTGTCTTTAATCTGAATGGCCTCGCTGTTTCATGAAACACTTTCACACCTATATTGGTTTATATATAATCAGAATGTTGGTTCTTACTGACAACTGGCTGCATCTTTGTATATGAATTAGCGCACTGTCAGTAGATTACCCCGTGATTGTGACTTCACAGTAATTTTCCTCACTTAGTAAATCTGTCTAATAGCATAAACAAAATTAAGTACATGTTATTTTCTAATATTTACCTGCTTTGCAGTTCCTGTAACTACAGTAAAATTCTTTCCACCATCACTTATCCTAGCTGAATATTTAAGTAAAAATGAATTTGTTAATCCTGTAGAGGGCAGTACAGCATTAGTAATGAACACTGATTATGCAAAACCTTAAAGTAAACCTTCAATTATAAAAGGTCACTACTCACAAGACTTAGAGCCCATGTCCATTCAGTGTCGGCCCTTTTCTAGCTACCTTGTGAGGGCATCCATATTGCTGCTGGGGACTTTAATAAGGCATGTGTGAAATCTGTACTCTTCAAATTCCACCAACATGTGTCCCACTAGTGGGACAGATCTGCGAATGCCATCATAGCAACCTTCACAGAGCACTGAGCCATCTGTAGAACAGGAAGAGCTACGTCTTTGTGGACTACAGCTCAGCATTGAACATTATAATCACAGACATCCTTACCATCAAACTACCTTCAGACTCCCCTTGCTACCTGCTCCTCGATCAATATCCCCTTTTAGTAGCTACTCCAGCGGTCCCCAACCCCCGGGGCACGGACCGGTACTACTCCATGAGTTGGTACCGGGCCGCGAGAGTTAAGGCTCGGGTGTGAAATTTATGGTATTCAGGGGTTTTATCATTAACTTGGTTTCCCTGGGTCTTTTCCCGTGTTGTAGTTGTGTCTTATTTTGAAAGAAATATTTACGCGTTACCATAGCGACCAGAGAGCATTAAGGGGCAGAGAGGAGGATGTTACTCTCAGTGTCGTTGGCGCACTTCAGGAGGAAGCTGCTAAAAAAATGTACACAATTACACAGTGAATTAGTTTATTATGATATTTACAAAGTACCATAGTTTTTGTCTTGGTCGTATCATTTTATTTTGTTGTATTTATCTGCCACACCTTAAAGGCCGGTCCATGAAGATATTGTCTGACATTAAACCGTCCGTGGAGCAAAAAATGTTGGGGCCCGCTGATGTGCTCGGATCAACTGGTTTTCCATTACAGAAGAGCACTGTAATGTGCGTGGCTGTCGTCATAGCAATACGTCAATAACATGCGACACAAGCGCTACAACAAAGGTGGATTTCAAGGCAAGAATATATCTGCTGCTTGGTCTGTGGCATTCATCAGACTCGGGGATCACGGTGTTGTTTTTCAGCCATTTCTCTCATTTCCAGGTTTCAAAAATGGCGGTTTTGATTTTCGTGAACGAGACGCATTGACTGATGACTTTTTTAGTACCTGCTCACCCGGGAACCAGGTACTAAAAAAGTACTTGATACGAAGTCAAATATGCTGATGACACCACCGTGGTAGCGCTCATTTCGGATGAAGATGAGATGCCGTACAGTAGCTGTGCAATTAGCGATGCAGTCACTGTATTTTATCCAATGAAATAATCTCTTTTCCCAAACAGTTTACAACATCACAGGTACATGCCATTATACCACAGCTAACCACATCAGCTGATTTGTGTTGTTGCTTTGTGTTCATACCTAAATACTAAGAGAAAGATCACATGTGTCCTCATTAGGAGAGTGATTTGTGCTGGTGATGTAAACCTACGGGCCTGCAGGTTTATGTTGTTCATCTTTAATTATGAGACAGTGTGCTTCAGAGTAACATGAAAACAATGTAACAAGTAGTATAATGCATTTCTTTCTCATGGGTGTAACTTACTGCTTTCCTTTAAGTTCTCTGTAAGATAAGTGAAGTGTAATAATTTTTTTAGTAATGATGCTAACACTGAAGACAACAAAGAGGGGAAATGCGTCTGACGTGAACAAACATTTGACCAGTCTTTGGCATTCTGCTTAGAGGATACAAATGTAATCTTTACTAAAATTGATCACAGTATTTCTAGTAAGGCCGATTATGGACATCGTGGGGGGGGTTGATATTTAGTGGGCTCGGGGAGGCATGGGTCAGAGGAGTGTTCCTAGTTTCCATATCACAGGCCTAAAACCAGCAGGCCTGAAAAACACTCCCCTGTGTCCCACCTGCAGACAGCGTTTACTTTACCATCTGCCTTTGGTGACTTTTTGGCAGCAGCTGTGACATTCAGCAGTGCCCTCATCGTTTTGACACACAAAACAAAAACAATAACTACACAAGACAGCACAACCCACTAACTACACTCTAAACACACTAAATGCCACAAATCTCTCTCGTCTCAAAACTCGCTATGGATATCGCTCGCTTGCTCTCCCTCGCCACCATCACTTAGAAACTTTCTCCTCTTCCTAAACAACCAAATGTCACAAGTTGCCATATTATTATTTTTTGATTGGTTAACATGGTACATTTTTCCACCAATAGGAAAGGGATGTCACCTGTTTTTGTTTTGTTGTGCTTGCGAGCGTTGTCCTTAGAAAATGCACTTTAACCGTTTCTTTTCACAGTAAATGTGTAATGTAAAGTGTCAAACACCTTAATGATTCTGAGTGGGAACACTGTTTAGCTAATATTAGTCTAAGAAGCCATGTTAAGCTCAGAGTTAGGGTCACGGGTACCTGCTACCTAATCGTGTGTTCTCTAACAGAGTCATAGAGGAAGAGCTGAAGGATGTGCCCTCAGAGGATGTCCCGCCTCTCACTCCACTGACTGTGGAGGTGAAGACTGAGCAGGAGGAGAAGCTGGTCAAGCAGCTGAGCAAAATGATACGTATCGTCGGTGACAGAGTGCAGCATGACCAAGAGTTTCAAGAGTGAGTTTTTCATCCTCATGTTAGGAGATGCTTTAGTACAATAATACTGTAGATTATTGGATGAATGCAACAGATTAATGTTGGCTCAATAAGCATTTACAGCGTAGTAGAGATAAGTAGACGC